GGCCTCCCAGAGTGCTTAGATTATTTCATTTATTTAGATGTTTCAATTTCTTTCAGCAGGTGTTAACTTATTTATTCTGATTTTCTGACTGAAACTATCAGCACTGTTTTATAGTTTTCATGTATAAATTTTTTGCCTCTTTGGTTAAATTTATTCCTAAGTATTTTATTCTTTTGTTACTATTATAAATATAATTGTTTTCTTAATTTTCTTTTCAGATTTTTGATTGCTAACATATAGAAATACAGCTGATTTTTCTGTGTTGATTTTGTGGCCTGCAGCTTTGCTGAACTTTTTAGTTCTGAAAATTTTTTAAAGGAGTCTTTAGGGTTTTTATATATAAGATTATATCATTGAAACAGGTAATTTTCCTTCTTCCTTTTTAATTTGGATAGCTTTATTTCTTTTTCTTCTCTAATTGCTCTGGCTAGGATTTCTGGTACTATATTGAACAGATGTGGCAAAAACAGGTATTGTCTTGTTTCAGATCTTAAGGAAAATACTTTCAGTCTTTCTCTGTTTAATATGATGTTCGTTGAGTGTTTTTCATATATAGCCTTTATTGTGTTAGGGAAGTTCCCTTATATTCCTAATTTATTGAGTATTTTCTCAGGAAAGGGTATTGAATTTTGTTAAATGCTTTTTCTGCATCAGTTGGGATGATCATGTGGGGTTTTTTTGTTTCATTTTATTAATGTGGTATATTACATTTCTTTTTTTATGTTGCATTCCTAGAATAAAACTCACTTGGTTTTGTGTTTTAATTTAGAATATTTAAGATGGAGAGCACCCCTTCAATGCTTAGGAGAGACACAAGATGGAAATAAGATTTTACAGGTCTTAGGGGCGGGAGCACACATGGCACAGCTAGAGGCTGCATCCACACAGGGTCAGGGAACTTGTGATGGGAGAGAGGGACCCACGAGCCAAACTCTTATTGGGGTCTAGGGCGTTATCCAAACAAGGTTTCCGCAGGGAGTTTTGACTGGCTGGTTTCTTTTTTTTCTTTTTTCCTTTTTTCTTTTGTTCTTTTAGACCATCCCTGGAATGGTATGAATGGTGGGTTTACAGCAAGCGGGCGGGAGGCCCAGGAGGTCATGCTCTGCCCGAGAGGTGGTCACTTGGCACGTTGGCATAGTCCACTGGGGTGTGGGCTCAGTGGGGCCAGCCAGGCGGGCTGTGTGTAGCTGTCCCACAGGTCAGCGGTCACCAGGAGGCAGAAATCTGAATTGGCCACATAGAGGGACTGACTGGGAGGGGAGTCAGGAGTGACGCAGCCGGCATACTCAAGGGTGCCGAGGAAATGGAAGGTGATAAGAATTCACTACATCGTGGTATATAACCCTTTCAATACTCTGGTGGATTTTGTGTTTTAGTATTTTGTTGAGAATTTTTGCATCTATATTCATAAGAAATATTGGCCTGTAGTTTTCTTTCCTCGTAGTGCCTTTGTCTTGAGTTGGTATCTGGGTAATGCTGGCCCCACAGAATGAGTTAGGACGTGCTCCCTCTTCAGTTTTGGAGTCCGAGAAGGGCCAGCTTTGCTGGGAACTTTTTTTTGTTTTTTGTGTTTCTCAAACTGTGATCAAGTACATATAACATAAAATTTACTGTCTTCACCTTTTGGGGGTTTGATTACTGGTTCAGTCTTGTTGTTGTAGGTCTATTTAGATTTTCTATTTCTGTCCCAGTTGATTGGCTACTTTGTATATTTCTAGGAATTGGTCCGCTTCACTTAGGTTATCTAATTTGTTGGCATACAGTTGTATTTTCTTATAGTGCTTTTCATTTCTTTTTTTTTTTTGAGACAGAGTCTCCCTCTGTTACCCAGACTAGAGTTCTGTGGCATCAGCCTAGCTCACAGCAACCTCAAACTCCTGGGCTCAGGGGATCCTCTTGCCTTAGCTTCCCAAGTAGCTAGGACTATAGGCATGTGCCACCATGCCCAGCTAAGTTTTTCTATCTATTTTTAGTTGTCCAACTAATTTCTTTTTATTTTTAGTAGAAACGGAGTCTCGCTCTTGCTCAGGCTGGTCTTGAACTCCTGACCTCCAAGCAGTCCTCTCGCCTCGGCCTACCAGAGTGCTAGGATTACAGGCGTGAGCCACCGCGCCTGGCCAGTGCTTTTCATTTCTATAAAATCGTTAGTAATGTTCCCAGTGTCATTTCTGATTTTAGTCATTTGAATCTTCTCTCTTTTTCACAGTCATCTTTTTTCTTAATCATTCTAGCTGAAGATTTGCCAGTTTTGTTGATCTTTTCAAAGAGCCAACTTGTGGTTTAGTTGATTCTATTTTCTGCTCTCTGTTTATGTCTGCTCTGCTCTCTATCGTTTCTTTCCTTCTGCTCTCTTGGTGACGTTTCCTCAGGATGCACGGCGTGGTCCCGGTGTGACAGCTGTGCTCTGTGTGAGCGGAGGCACGTCCTGCTGTGACGTCCCCTCTGGTGCTTCTGTCACCGTGTTGCGTGTGAGGGCGTCCAGGACTCTCCGTGCCCTGCGGTCGCGGGCGGTGTTGTGGACGGCATGCTGTCACGACTCGGTGCACAGCTTCCATTGTTTCCTCTGGGCACATCCCAGGAGTTGAACTGTCAGACTCACTGGCAGGTGCTTTTAAAGCTCCCGATGCAGGACGGGTGTCCGTGTGCACCCGTTACGTGGAAGGCCTTGTTTCTCTGCACCTTCTTCCACAGTTGGCATTTTATTTTATTTTTATTTATTTATTTAAAAAAAATTTTTTTTTATTTCAGCATATATGGGGGTACAAATGTTAAGGTTATGTATATTGCCCTTGTCCCCCTCCCCCCTCGAGTCAGAGCTTAAAGCGTGACCATCCCCCAGATGTCGCACATCTCACTCATTATGTTTGTATATACCCATCCCCTTCTCCCCCCTCCCACCCGCCCGACACCGATAAATGTCATTCCTATATGTCCACTTAGGTGTTGATCCATTAATACCAATTTGCTGGTGAGTACACGTGGTGCTGGTTTTTCCATTCTTGAGATACTTAGTAGAATGGGTTCCAGCTCTATCCAGGAAAATACAAGAGGTGCTAGGTCATCATTGTTTCTTAAAGCTGAATAGTACTCCATGGTGTACACGTACCACATTTTATTAATCCACTCTCATGAATTGATGGGCACTTGGGTTGTTTTTTTGTTTTTTGTTTTTTTTGCCCAGGCTACAGTGAGTGCCGTGGCGTCAGCCTAGCTCACAGCAACCTCAAACTCCTGGGCTCAAGCGATCCTGCTGCCTCAGCCTCCCGAGTAGCTGGGACTACAGGCATGCACCACCATGCCCGGCTAATTTTTTTGTATATATATTAGTTGGCCAATTAATTTGTTTCTATTTATAGTAGAGACGGGGTCTCGCTCTTGCTCAGGTTGGTTTCGAACTCCTGAACTCAAACGATCCGCCCACCTCGGCCTCCCAGAGAGCTAGGATTATAGGCTTGAGCCACCGCGCCCGGCCGGCACTTGGGTTGTTTCCACAGCTTCGCAATTGTGAATTGTGCTGCTATAAACATTCGAGTGCAGGTGTCTTTTTCATAAAGTGACTTTTGATCTTTCGGGTAGATGCACAGTTGGCATTTTAAACATGTATTTTTCAGTGTGGTCAGGGAAAAATTATGCCTTGTTTTGGTTTGTAGTTTTTTGTTACTAGGGGTGGGATAGTTTTGAGTATGCCTTTTGGGTGTTTTTGCTTTCTGCTTTTAGAACTTCCTGTTTGTGTGTCTGGCTCTGGGTGTCCGGTCTGGGGGGCGCTGAGTAGTTTGGTGGTTGAGGTCCGGCTGCCTGGCCCCTGTGACCTCTCCTCTGCCCCTGCCCAGCCGGCCCAGGCCTTCGTGGTGAAGCGCGGCGTCCACGTGTCGGGAGCGTCTCCCGAGAGCGTCGGCAGCCTTCTCTCGGAGGTGGCCGAATACGGGACCCACTACACACGCCTGAGTCACTTCTCCCTGCAGCCCGTCCTGGACTCCTCATACAACAAGGGCCTCGTGTTCCAGGTACGGCCCTCAGCCTCACGCTGCCCCACACCGTCACGAGAGCCGCGTGCACTTCCTGGGAAAGATGGTCAGAGACCCTACTCCAGGACCACCGAGTCCAAACCTTTTGTTTCCATGGTAACACCTAAAACCCGGGGATAGTTGCTCTTCAGGAATGGGGTGACCGGTGCTGATGTTTGACCTCACCCGTCATTCTGCTGGACACCTGGGACAGATGTGTTTGGGTCAAGGGATGGGGAGGCAGGTGTGGCCAGCATTTGGCGGCCTGAGTGGAGGACCCGCTGACGTAGGGTGAGCGAGACAGGTACAGACGGTGAGGAAGCAGGAGCCGCCCGCGCCCCAGGGCCCCAGTGCACTGTGAGGCTGGCGTGGCAGGGCGCCCGTGTCTGACTTGCTGGACTTGTGGGTGCTGGGGTTTCCGAGCCCAGTCTGGCTCCAGGAATTACTGTTGTTGACAGACTTGCGGCTGGCTCACGTGCTGGTTGGTTCCACAGGAGGGCAGGTGCGGCCTGAGTGGGAGAGGACAGGTGTGCAGACAAGCAGGGCGTTTTGGGAGAACTGAGAGGGCGTCAGGAAGATGGGCAGAGGACCCAGGGCCCAGGAGGAGCTGGGCCGCGTGGGCCCCTTCGTGCGTTGGTGCCACTGCGGGGCTGCTGGGTGGCAGGTGGGGTTTAGGTTCTAGGCAGTGCTGGCTGGGGAGGCAGGTATGGCCCCAGCCGCAGGCGGACGACCTTCCAGGCACAAGAGCAGCAAGTGTGGAGGCCCCGGGTGCTGCAAGGTGGAGGATGGGTCAGAGTAGGCACCCAGGCCAGGGCCAGGGGCAGAGAGGAGAAGCCAAGGAAGGCAAGACTGTGGTTCTTGGTTGTCTGGCATGTGTAGCCAGGCATGTGTAGCCAGGCCAGGCCACATGACTCCTGGGTGTTCCTGTCCTGGCATGGCCCAAGGAGCCCCACTGCTGCGGTGTAGCCCGGGACCCTTGGTGCCGCCCAGACCCCTGTGGTCCGAGCAGCTGAGCGCCGGTGTTCAGAGCCCAGACACCCTTTCCCAGCATCACCCCACAGCCCCGCACGAGTTGCAGTGACAGGCTTTGCAGTGGGCCCGTGGCTTCCCGTGAGGGGTCCTTGCTTCTTGCCTGGCTGGGTGGCCGGACTTAACCACAGGTGCCCACTGCTTGGGAGATGGAGCCCCTTCCCAGCACCGGGGCACCTTCAGGCCCTGGGCCCATGGCCTTGTCCCTGTGCTCGGCCGCTCTCCTCCCGGTCCCTTGCCCACAGGCCTTCACCAGCGGCCTGAGGAGGTACCTGCAGTACTACCGGGCCTGCGTTCTCTCAACACCGCCCACCTTGAGCCTCCTCACCATCGGCTTTCTCTTCAAGAAACTGGGCCGGCAGCTCAGGTGAGCCTAGGGGCTTGCTGGGCTGTGGAGGGTCAGCCCTGCTCCCAAGCAGGTGACAGGACACCCCTGGCCTGGCTGAGCCCACCAGGTGCTGGATGCTGTGGGTGTCTGCCGTCGGCCCCCTGCGGCCATCCCTGCCCCGGCCCGGGGGCTCCTGCCTGGGCAGCACTGGGGGTTGGTGAACCACCAGGCAGTGTTGGCCAGTGCCGTCAGAAGGGAGAGGGGCTGGGGGCCGGGATGTGGCAGGAGCTATGTGAGGTGGGGCCTCCACACACAGGGGACTTGAGGGCTGAGAGTGCCTGATGCAGTGGGGATGGGGAGCTAGGGGCCTGGAGTGGGGGTGTGTGGTGCTGCTGTGTGGAGCTCAGATCGGCTGCAGGGGAGAGGGGCCGCAAGGGGCCTGGCCACCCAGGCCAGAGTAGGTGGTGACCTGGGCCAAGCAGTGGGGGGCTGAGGTGGAGCCCAGGGATGGGGCAGGGGAGTCCCAGATGTGAGAGGGCTTGAGTCCTGGCTGGAGCCTGAGAGCAGGTGAGGACCTGGCAGGTAGCTCAAATCTGGGTTCTGGGATGCAAGTGGTTTTTAAAGCCTGGGTGGGTGGGTGGGCGGGTCCGTCACTTGGGAGAGAAGGAAGATGCACAGAGAGTTTGCTCACCTGGTGTGTCTGGTCCTGGCCTGGGGACCTAGAGCCCCATCACTTGGTCTGATCCAGCCTCTGGGTCTAGGTACCTGGCTGAGCTCTGTGGCGTGGGCACTGCGCTCCCAGGAGCCAGCGGAGGAGGGCCCAGGGCTGCGTTCCCCACGGTGAGTTGTGCCTCCTGTTGAGGGTGGTGGCCTGGCCAGCTCCAGGAAGTGGGGCCGGCTGGGCGTGGCTCCCCTGGGGCTGCTACTGGGGGGGGAGAGGGGGCTGCCCCTCCCACTCTGGCTGTGCTGAGCCTGCCTGCCCTTGCCGTCTGCAGGGAGTAAAGCTGCTGTCCTACCTATACCAGGAGGCGCTGGATAACTGCAGCAACGAGCACTACCCTGTGCTGCTGTCCCTGCTGAAGACCAGCTGCGAGCCCTACACGCGGTGGGCACAGGCCTGGGCTCCCCAGATGGGTGGGGCAGGGCTGCACTTGGGCCAGGCAGGTGTCTGGGAGCATCCTCTTGCCAGACACCTGCGGAGTGCAGGAGCGCACACTGAGAGGAAGGTGGCTAGGTGGGCTCTGGCTGCAGGTGTCCTGGGCAGGAGGCCGTGTGCTCCTCTGCTCACCATGCTCACCTCACTGCTGGCCACGCCCACCTCACTCGTTTGTTCCCATGGTCCACAGGTTCATTCACGACTGGGTGTACAGTGGGGTCTTCAGAGACGTTTACGGCGAGTTCATGATCCAGGTGAACCATGAATACCTGGGCTTCAGAGGTAAGTGCTGGGCAGAACCTCCACACCTGTGGGCCTGGGGTCGGGACTGTCATGATACAGGCCACTCATTTTTTCCCTGTTACCTGTAGATAAGTTTTACTGGACCCACGGCTATGTGCTCATTTCCAAAGAAGTGGAGGACTGCGTACCTGTGTTCCTGAAGCACATTGCCTACGACGTGTACGTCTGTGGCAAGACCATCAACCTGCTGAAGCTGTGCTGCCCCCGGGTGAGGAGGGTCCCGTCACCCGCGGGCACGGCTGGCGAGGGCCCTGTGCTTGGCGGGGGGGCTCTGGGGGGCCCAGGCTGGATGCAGCGGCCGTGCCTGGACCTTGTGCTGTCTGCCCCGGCTCTGCCAGGGCTCACTGCAGGCTGTCCCTCCTGGCAGCATTACCTCTGCTGGTCTGACACCCCCGTGCCTCGCATCTCAGTGATCTTCTCCCTCGAGGAGCTGAAGGAGGTTGAGAGGGACTGCGCCGTCTACGTGGGGCGGATGGAGAGGGTGGCTCGCCACAGCTCCATTAGCAAGGAGGAGAAGGTGCGTGGCCCCAAGGTCTCGGGGGCCTTCTCTGTATCTCCCCTTGTCCCCTGGGAACCCAGGCTGCCTGGGAGGGGCACTGGGTGTGCAACGTGCAAGGTGGGGAGTCTCCCTTCTGGCGTGTTCCATCCAGGCCATGGCTGACGGGTGAGTGCTGAGGGGGGTGGGTGCTGAGGGGGAGCCAGGTGCTCAGGACAGGGGCTCTGTCCTCTCCGGTGCCTCGGTGGCCTGGCCTAAGCCCCAGGCTCTGCTGGCGTGGGCAGCTCCAGGGGCGTTCCAGGGTCAGGGCCCGGGGGTCCACACCCACGTGGCCTCTGCAGGCTCCCCTCCTGCTCAGAGGTGTGGGTGGGATGGGGCTGCAAGAATCCTGTGTGCTGGGGGACCGTTGGTGGGGCCAGTGCTGTTCCCAGGACACTCTTTGTGGTCTGGTGTCTGGCGGGCAGCAGGGAGTCCTGGGCAGAGGCAGACCCACGAGTCCGAGTGGGGAAGCCCCTCTCTGAGACCCCCGGTCTCCCTCCAGGGTAGGCACACTCAGCCTGGGGCCTGAGCCCCAGACGTCTCTCTGAGCCCATCAGCCCCAGCTTGTCACTGCTTAGAACGGAGGGCATCTCCGTGTCCCTGCCTCATGCCATCCTCACAGCTGCACATCCCGCCTGCCGACACTGGTTCCGTGCAGGGGTGGGTGTGACAATAGTGGGTGTCACGAGCATCTGTCCCCTTTCCCAGGCCATCCTAGGTGAGGGGACAGAGGATCAGGACACGTTGTGTACCAGTTTTCTTTCTCAGGAACTACGTATGGAAATTGCGAAGCAAGAGTTAATTGTCCATGCCCGGGAAGCAGCGTCCAGGGTGCTGAGTGCGCTGAGCGGTGAGCACGGCCCGTGTCCTCCCCTTGGCGGTCTGGGGGCCCCTGTGGGGGCTCCTCGTGACTGTGCACCTCTCCCCATCCCCAACGCAGACCGGCAGATGTCGGAGCAGATGGCCTTGGACGCCCGGAAGCGGGAGCAGTTTCAGAGGCTGAAGGAGCAGTTCCTGAAGGACCAGGAGGTGGGTGGGCGCCGCCCCCGCGGGTTCCGGGCTCGTGGAGCGGGGACTTAACAAACCCACCGTGTGTGTCTGTGTGTGTGTGTGGTGCAGCGGCGCCGGGCGGCCAGGCAGGAGGAGCTGGATGACGACTTCAGCTACGCCCGCGAGCTCCGAGACAGGGAGAGGAGGCTGAGGGCCCTGGAGGAGGAGCTGGAGAGGAAGGCAAGGTAGGCGGTGGGGGTGAGCGTTTAACCACAGTGTTTAACCTTCATGGCAGCGACTTGACGTTTTTATTTTGAAAAACGTCAAGGATACACGAAGGTAGAAAGACTCACGTGCAGAGCCCAGGGTCCCCCCTCCCCGAGTCAGTGCTTCTGGCCATCTGTCTGTCCTCTGGGACCGTCTTCTCACGGTTGGCTTTGTCATCCGTGCGGGAGCCCAGGCGAGGTCCACACGCTGTGCTGATGTCCTGGCGTTTGCCCGGCAGAGTACTCGGAAGTCTGTCTCCTGGAGGTGGCGCCAGCTTGCCCTATGCCTGGGAGTGGAGCCGGAGCCTTGAGGGGGCTGTTCGGTGTCTTAGAGAAGGCCCATCGGGGGAGGGGTGGCCGTCCTGCTTAGCCTCGAGGGGTGACCTGCTGCCCCGACACCTTGGCTGCTGCTTGTGGAGCTGCTTGAGGGGTGTGCATGCAGGAGGCATGTGTGCGCCGATGCTTGTGTACGTGCGCACACGGCAGGTAGGGGGATGGGGGGCCGTGCACGTGAGCAGGAGGAGACACGGCACAGAGACCGTGTTCTTTGCCTGCGGCAGCCAAATTGGAAATGTCCAGTTTAGATTTTAGTCCAGTTGCCTTTGGAGAGAAGCTCAGTCTCTGGGAGTGACAGGCAAGGCAGGCTTTGAATTCAAGCAAGTAAAATGTTTGCATTGGTTTTCCTTCATGTACTTTTTTTTGGATACAGAGTCTCACTCTGTTGCCTGGGCTAGAGTGCCGTGGCGTCAGCCTAGCTCACAGCAACCTCAAACCCCTGGGCTCAAGCAATCCTCCTGCCTCAGCCTCCCGAGTAGATGGGACTGCAGGCATGCGCCACCATGCCCGGCTAATTTTTTCTATATATTTTTAGTTGGCTAATTAATTTCTTTCTATTTTTAGTAGAGACGGCGTCTCACTCTTGCTCAGACTGGTCTTGAACTCCTGACCTTGAGCAATCTGCCCGACTCAGCCTCCCAGAGTGCTAGGATTACAGGCCTGAGCCACCACGCCCAGCCTGCTTCATGTACTTTTATGCGTTAGTCTCGGTCCCCAGGGTTCGCACCTGCAGAATGGGAAGCTGGATGCGCCACCAAGGCGAGGCGTGGCTTCCCGAGGGCTCTGCCCACCGCCTCGCCCAGGCTGTGTGGGCTCACATTCTGGTGCTCGTTAACCTGACGTGGGCTGGGGTCTCCCAGTCTGGTGGGTGGGGGGAGCCAGGTGCTGCCCCTGCAGCTGCTGTGAGGGCCCAGAGGGAACGGCCGTGTCAGGGGCCTGGGGAGGTGCCAGCAGGGGCCTCTGTGGACATGCCAGCCCAAGGGCACCGTTGGTGACGTGTCCTCGCTGGGCTGCAGGCAGGCGCTGGTCGACCACTACAGCAAGCTGTCTGCGGACGCGGCTCGGCGGGAGCAGAGGGCGCTGTGGAGAATCCAGAGGCACCGGCTGGAAAGCGAGCGTCTGCGTTTCCTCTTAGAAGATCAGAAACGCATTCAGGTATCGCAGCGGCTTTAGAAGGAAGCTTTTCCCCTGGCTCTGGGGGTCTCTGAACCCCTGAAATTGCACAGAGCCGTATGTGCCTGTGCAGGGCCAGTTGGCAGTTCTCATCAGCCGCAGGAGGGCACTGTGCTGCCCCCTTTGTCACGTGCGGCTGCACGGGTACAGGTGAGGGGCTCGCAGGTGCCAAGCGCCTCCACAGCCCAGGCTGGCTGAGCCCATCAGAAGCCTCTACCTGCTTGGTGCACGTGGCCGTCGCGGGCAGCGGGGCTGTGGCTGCTGTGTGGGGCTGTGCTGCACTGGGCAGCAGCCCTGCCGGTCACCCCTCAGCTGCTGTCCCTGTCCTGCTGGCTTGAATCCAGGGCATGCTGAAGGACGCGTCAGAGGTTCCCAAGCCCCAGGAGCCACCGGCCATCCTCCCGAGTGCTCACTCCCAGGTGAGGGGCCGGGGCGGGACCAAGGTGCCTGAGCTCCAAATGTGGTGTTCTGGGCCTGGCCACGTCCCCATAGTCCTTGGAGCTTGGTGAGTGTCAGCCACGGTCATAGAGTTGAACTTGGGGTTAGGTAGCCAGAGGGAAACTGAGGTCAGACAGGGTCCAACGGGACTGTGTTTCAGGCCGTGTCTCCAAGTCCTGAGCACCCAGATGGAGGCCAGGGCTGCGACTCCAGGCTCAGAGAGCAGCACTTGGCGGCCCAGGACTACCACAGCCAGCCGAGCGTGCCGACGCCACAGCTCCTGGAGGCTGCAGCCGTGGGCGCTGGTGGCACAGGCTCCCAGCAGGTGGCGGGGGCTGAGCAGCCGGTGCAGACTGGCGAGGTCCCACTCCTGGAGGAAGTGCTGCAGACCATCAGCTCAGACCTGCCCTCTGCGGCTCTCGGGGAGACGCCTGTGGCAGCCAGCACTCAGCCCTCCGGGCCGCAGGAGTACGACTTCAGCACCATCCTGAGGCCAGCTGTGGCCACTGCACCTGCACCAGGGCCCTTCCTGGCTGAAGAGGGCTGTGCGTGCAGCTCAGAGCAGCAGGTGTGGGGGGACACCTGCATGCAGCTGGATGCACGTGTCCCTGACACACAGGTGGCTCTGCCTCAGCCACAGCCACCCAGCCACGTCAGTCCTGAGGGGAGTAGCTGGCCCACAGAGCAGCTCCTCGGGCACCTGTCTGGGGCTGCTGTTCCCACAGAAGGCTGCGCTCCTGGAACAGCTCCCTCCCGGCCACAGTGGAACATCCACGGACATGCGTCAGACGCCAGCATCAGGGTTGGGGAGAACGTGTCAGACGTGGCTCCCACTCGGCCACGGTGGAACATCCACGGACACGCGTCAGACGCCAACATCAGAGTTGGGGAGAACGTGTCAGACGTGGCTCCCTCCCAGCCACGGTGGAACATCCACGGACACGCGTCAGATGCCAACATCAGAGTTGGGGAGAATGTGTCAGACGTGGCTCCCACTCAGCCAAGGTGGAACATCCATGGACACGCGTCAGACGCCAACATCAGGGTTGGGGAGAACGTGTCAGACGTGGCTCCCTCCCAGCCACGGTGGAATGTCCATGGACACGCATCAGACGCCAACATCAGGGTTGGGGAGAACGTGTCAGACGTGGCTCCCTCCCAGCCACGGTGGAATGTCCATGGACACGTCTCTCAGTCCCACATGATGCTGGGGCCACTGTCACCAGAAGCTGAGCCTAACGTACCCACGCCCCACGGGAGCCCCCCTGGCCAGCTGTCCCAGGCAGGCCTCCACCTGGGGGCGCAGAGCCCTGCCCTGGAATGTGGTTCCCAGTCCCCTGTAGAAGTGCCGTCCGTGTGCTCCTCCGGCTTGGGCAGCGGGGAAGAGACCAGCCTCCAGACCTCGACCTCTGCCGTGGCCAGGCCCGATGCTCTGGGAGACGGCGTCCCCGAGGAGCCAGGTGGAGTGGGGCAGCCCATGGTCAGAAGTGGGGCTTTGGGGCCACGGAGCCCATAGAGTCCTGGTGGGAAGAGGAGGCAGCAGCTCATGAAGCTGCCCTCAGGGCTCCTTTGTCGGTCAGCCAGGACCTGAGCTGCTATCCTGGGGCCATAGGCGGCACAGCCTGAGCCGGGGCCAGCCCACTGTCCCTCAGCAGGCCCTTGGCCCTGACGCCCTCCCTTCCTTTTTGTCCGCCCAGGCCCAGGGAGGAGTGGAGGTGCTGAGGACACGTCTCCACGTCGGCCTCTAGGCCCACAGGTCAGGGCGGGCGCTTCCCGGGGCCCGGGGCCGGGCCTGGGGGTGCAGTGAGGGCTCGTCCCTCTCGGCGCCATGTCCCATTTGCCTCTTAGCACGGGGGAGGGGCCCAGTGGGCAGCACGCTGGGTGGGAGGCAGTTCTTTGAGGCTGGTCTCTTCCTAGGAAGACACGGCTGTCCCGAGCAGGC